GGAGGAAGTTTACTGTGCCTGACTGGCCCCAGGACAAGAACTAGGGCCTCTGTGAAATGGTCTAGGGAGGTTGACATGTGCTGAAAATGAAGAAGAGTTTCCTAACAGGACAGGCTGGACAAGATCCTCTAAGGCAGCGGTTCTCAGCCTGTGGGTCGCGACCCTTTGGTGGTCAAACGACCCTTTCACAGGGGTCGCCTAAGACCATCCTGCATATCAGATATTTACATTACGATTCATAACAGTAGCAACATTACAGTTATAAAGTAGCAACTAAAATAATTTTATGGTTGGGTCACAACATGAGGAACTGTATTTAAAGGGCCAGAAGGTTGAGAACCACTGCTCTAAGGGAATAAACTGTCATTAAAGGTGTCAAGCAGGGAGTGGGCAAATTCATTTTCAGTATACCAAGCACTGGATACCAGTAGTGTAAGGGCAGGGTTAGATGAAGATGGTCTTTATGATCTCTCTTCCACACACAAAGGCCCTGTGGTTCCATGATTCAGTGACGTTGCAAAGCATGATCCAAAGAGGACAGGACTGAATAAATAACCAAATGGTGACGCATCCATGCCATACAACAGTGCTCACTAATAAAAGGGCACGGACCCTGGCACATGCAACAACACGGATAAATCTCAAAAAACATGCTGCGTGAAAGAAGCCTTGAATGAGGGACCTCAAACTGATTCCATTTATTTCATGCTTCAATTTCTGACTTTTTTAAATGGGAGAGTTTTAAGGTACCAAGTAATGGAAGATAAATAAAGGCTAAAGACTAAGCGTAGAAGATAATTTATTATTAAATAATCATAAGAATTTCAATAAGAACCTAAGTGGAATTTACTGATACTCATGTGGATTTTCAGTGAGAATCAATGGCAATGATTCAGAAAGGAATTTTGAGGAAGTACATTTGTAGGTTTCACACTTACATAGTTCCATTGATAATATTCAATATAAATTAAAATAATACCAAAGGTCTCCCTTGCCTAGACTATTACTAATTCAAAATAACATGTTAGGATTGTCATAATATTACATTATTTCATCAAAATTACAATTAGTAATATACATATTTCTTCTCCAATCTTAATGCAATTACTTGGTAATATATAGAAAGTTTTATAACCATATTTAATTTGCCTAGGTTCTGAAATGCATATTGGCTCAGTTCCCTTTTCACATTTCACCATGTCCAATGTCAGTACCCTAATCAATGCTACTGTCAGAAACCACTGAAATGGTCTCACTATAGACACCAGTAGTGTGCTGGAAAATGGATAATGACCAGCTCTTTGGGAAAAGGGAAAATCCTGATTTGCAAGGTCTACCCATTGCTATGGTGTAAATACACCCACCTTTGCTAATTTCAAGCTTCCAATGGAAAATCACTGAACCTGGATTTGGGAAGAAATGATAACAAATTGACTCTTTCAAAACACTGTCTTCACACCACTCCCCTCACCACACCCAATATATCCTTCATAAGAACACAGGATGAGTTTTTTAAAAGATCAGACCATCTGGGGCCTGGTTAAAAATAAATTTTTCAATTCTTTTTACTTCTCCCAAACCTTCTTTCAATTTTTTCCTGCTCCCAGTCTTCACAGAGTATTTCGACAAGCTGTTATCTGTGCTGGAAAATTCTTCCTTTGCCTTTTCACATAATTAACTGATATCCTTCAGATCTTAGCTCAAGAATTAGTTCCTCAGAGAACTTTTCCCTGATGTCCTTGGTTATATTAAAGCCCCATATTAAAGCCCTTATAACAGGATTCTATCTCTACATTATAGCTACTGTTACATCTACAGTCTTGTATTTCTTGATGCAATCAATTAATGTGTGTCTCTCTGACTATACTCTTAAGTTTATGAGACAGCACTTGGTTTTCAACCCTGAGCACAGTGCCAAGAACAAAGCAAATACTCAAGAATTAGATGAGTAAATGTGTACCTAAAATCATAAATAAATATGTTCCCCTGAAATTTGTAGAATTGAAGATTAGATGATAAGAGGAGTCTTTGATGTGTCTTCCGTAGGGCTACAGAGTTTGTGTAACAACTTTATAGATGACATTAGAAAGTACTTAAGCTTTTCCAAATTTAATAATACATTATTCATTCAGATAAAATAAGAAGAGCTGACAGAACTTTAAATGTTTGTTCTTAAGAACCTATCCAAGTAAAATAGGTTACTTTTAGCCCTTCTTAAAAATATGACATTCTATACTAAATGATGGCATTTTCACCATTTCAGAAGCAGCTCAAACTTTATGTCAACAAATGAAGCACTACAAGAAGGCCTTGAACCTGGAGTGCATACAGCTTATTTAGCTAATGCATCATTTCAACAATTTGAAACAATAAACCAAATGTCTTAGGAAGTTTAGATTTCTCAATATAAAATAAAAAACATGGAAATTGACAAAAGTAATAGAATAATTTATCTCTCTCATATTCACCTCTATCTTTCTAAGTTTACAATGACCATAAAATGCTTTTATTTCAGATGTTGAGTCAAGATATATATAAACAGAGCACATGCATTTCAATAAACAGTTCTAATAAAAACACAAAATAAAATTCAAAACTAATCATGAATGTGGTTTCTATTGTCCTCTTCAGAGTTTGAATTTTATGTACGTTTCATAAGCTGCTCAAAGCACATAATTGTGATTTGAGAAATGTATAAGTTTGAGTAACATGAGAGTGTGGCTGGATATGTGGACATATTTTTAACATTAGGATTTTATAATTTCATAAAGCTCTGCATTCACAGCTTTTTGATCCCAACATCCCATGCTTATAACAAATAATTGAAAACTGTATACTCTTTTTGGATCACAAAGATTTTTTTTCTAGCAAATTTACCCTTTCCATGGTATTCTGAGCTACCTATCAGACCAGACTAAAAAGTAAAGTAAAATCTGTACCTTTGTTTTCTAAATGAAGATGATCTTTAGATATATCAACAAGAGAACAGGTCCGCCTACTCCCACTATAGTGCTCAGAATGCAGCTTTCCTTCCTAAAAGATTTAGATATTTTCTCCCTATAGCTTGCTATGCTGAAAAATATATATTTCACTCCTAACTGAAATGCATTATTCTTCCTTTATTCCTTAGAGAAAATGTCTACAAAATTATAAATACATGAGAATATTTAAAAACTATTTGTAAAAATTAGAATATTTTCCCCCAGACTATGACTAAAAGTTGGTAAGGTTATATAAAATATTTCAGTCATAAAATATTTCTGACATTCTAAAATTATATATCAATACAATGGTATAACTAAGACCAATATTCTGAGTTTGTTTTCATGAATTTATATCAATATATCAATAAATGTGACCTAACGTTAAATAATCATATGTCCAACCCAAATCCATACCTTACATTAGATAAATAGCATCTGTTGCCTTTATACCACCATTGATCTCTTAGGTGCGTATTTTACCTCTTTACCTAGATTATGACATCCTCAAAGATACATTATCTTACATATTTTTTCTTATGTAAACTCTTATGTATTCAGAAGCTCCTATACTGAGATTACTGCACTTCTTAGCAACAGATGTGCTGAGATTTGAATTATATGACTCTATGAGTCCTATGTTTCAAAGACTCAATGGATTTTTTATGCATTTATCATGCAACGCCTGTACAATTAAAGGTAAAATTTTACATAGAGAAATAATTCCATCATGAATTTAAAGGAAATACTAGTTATTCAAAGATAATGTCTCAACTTACAGCATTCTAATATCTTACTACAAACACAGTTTGAATAATTATAAAAGTAGTGTTTATGAAACTACATTTCATTTTCAAAATTTAGCTATCAGCTCTTAAAGTGAGTATACATTTTTGGGGACACTATATATAATACATTTGAGTTTTCAAATATAATTCAATTGGTGTATACGAGACGTAATTTCCCTCCCATTAGACACACAAAAAAAGGCTTTTGGAACCTAAAGATTAGACTATATTAACAACAGTTAATTTTTTTTTCATTTTTAGATTGTATTAAAACTGAATTACAATTATTACTTTCTGAATTGGTTAATACTTCTCTCATAATAAGTATATTAACACTATTTTCATTCAATCAAATATATACATTGCTCCATTTGAACTCAACATTCTTAGATGTAACATTAAGGGATTTTCTAAATGATTTCAGAAAGATTAGCAGGCATTTTCATTCCAGAGAACTTTGTCTTCAGGAGTTTATTCAGTAGAAAGGCATCAAGAAACAAACATTATTATACAGTGTTATCAATGGGGAAAAATAACAGGTGCTTTAAGGTAACGCTTCCTCACTGATGAAGTGGTCAGCCAGCAATCCTTGGCAACATCATTCATCACCTCGTTTCCAAACTTCAAGCAGGTATGGCACTACTTTCACTGGAAAATCACCAGTAGTTTTTCCTTTTTCACTTATTTAATGCATACTCAGAAATAATCCTAGTTTATTTGATATTTCAAGTCCATATAGCTCACATTTGTGGCCATGGATTTAGTGGTCTCTTATCATTATAATAAAGAAAAGAAATATCACTTATTCAATATAAGATCAAACTTAAATATAAATTAAATTATAAAAAGCAAACCAACTTTAAGATAGGAAGTTTATATTAAAATCTGATCATATTTTAGAGCATTAAATCCTACAACTACAAAATAAGCAATCTAAGAACAGTGCACCCACGTTCCCAGGTAAGAAAACAAAGTGCTTCAGGCTACTTACCTGAGTTCCTAAGATAAAGTAATAACACCATCCTTAGATGGGATATAGTTCAAACACACAAAGTTGGAAGCCACAGAAGTTATTCATGAGACAGTAGATTGATTTTTAATGTGCAAAATTTACTTCTGCCCTCTCCATATGGCAGTATTGACACATTCATTATAAACCGCAACTTCTGAGCAATCTAATGCAGTTATCTACAAGTTTTACAAAGCTCTAAAAGTCAAATGAACAACTTACTGTTTGGAAGGTTCAGGGAATTTTAGCTCTTCTCCTTTCCTCATTTCTATTGTTGGTTCCATAGGAGTGAGTACTACGGCAGCACATGAGACTACAGAGTTGTACGATTCCTCCCGGCAAACTGTTGTTATTGAAAGAATTCATTGTAAATGTCAAAGTTATTTATTAACTAGTCTCACTTTCCCTTTTTCTGCTTTTTCTTTTCAGTCAAATTAAAGAGATAACTAAACTAAAACATTAATTATAATTACATTATCCTTAATTATCATTTTCTAAACTAAGTCATTACTCACTAGGCGTTGCCAACATTTTACAGTCCTTCATTTATAAAAAGCTTTTCATTGAAGAATGAGAAGAACACAAATCATACACAGTGAAATTAATCTTTGCAACATGAGAACATCTGTTTAATCAGCATTACAATCAATAAATAGGGCATTACCAGCACTCTAAAAATCCTTGGTACCCCTTTCTAATCACTATTATAGCCTCCAAACTTAGCCATTATAATTACTTATATTAACCACAGATTAGTTTATCTACTTCTAACCTTAATATAAATTACATCATACTCTTTTGTTGGTGTACTCTTTCATGTGGCTTATTTCAATTTGTTCATTCTTATACTTTCCAGTGAATGCTATATATATTATATATATATATATATATATATATATATATATATATATATGATGGGGCAAAAGTATGTATAGAGTTGTAAGCATGCAAAACAGAGCTTATTATAGTTATTATTATTATTATTATTATTATCATTATTACTACAAAACAGCTATAGTTCAGGTTTATTAGGCTGAATTTAATTTGTTTGCCTTATGGAGCACATATTAGAAATTAAATGACTTACCTTCTATGAATATATTTTCTACATAATTCTTTTTTATTGTCTAAAGTTTTACATATGTTTCCTTTTCCCCCAATTATTTTCCATGTGAACAGCTACAGAACTACTTTTGCCTGACCCAATGGTGTGTGCGCGCACACACACACACACACACACACACACACACACACTCATTTTATTGATAATAGACATTTGGATTGTTTCTGGTCTGGGGCTATTTCAAAATATCTATAAACTTCCTTGTACTGTTTTGATGCATACATAAATTTATAGTGCAAAAATACTTAAGAATTGCTCCTAAGGTATATTCATATATTTTATGTTCGTTAAGCTTTTCTCAACTGATTGTACTAACTTGCATTCCCCAAAATAGAATAAGAATTTCAGTAGTTCTGCATCTGTACCAACACTTGGTTTTGTCAGGTTTTTTTTCTTTTTAAAAATTTAATATTGTATTAATTTTATTGCTATATCCAAATATAGCATCTTAAAACAATATACATTTAATATCATAGATCTTCATGTTAGCAGTCTAGGAAGGCTCCATTGTGTTCTCTGATTAAAGTCCCTCCAGGCCATTGTCAAGATGGTAGCCAATCTTTGCTCTTATCTAAAGTCTATGGGTCAAGAATCCATTTCTGAGTTTGTATATGTTGCTAGCAAAACTTAGGATGCAGTAGTGGGATACAGGTCTCCTTTGCCTTGCTGGCTAGTGGTCAAGATCTATTCTGAGTTCCCTGACGGCCAGTGACCCACAGCCTCTCTATCTCAGCAATGGAGAACGCCCCTTACATTGAGAACTTCTCATGCTTCAGATTTAATTTCTTCTTTTCCTAACAGCTGGGGAAAATATTCGTCTGCTTTTAAAGGACTCATGTGATTAGTCTAGATTATATCCTTTTTTTATTACCTCAAAGTCAACTGATTAATAATCTTAATTATAACTGCAAAATCTCTTTTACCATGTAACATAACATAATTATAGTAGTGAAGTCCTATAATTTTCCCAGTGGAAGTAATTATACCAGGGCTACAGTCATGTGTCATCTTAGAATTCTGCCTACCATGGCTATTCCTGTAAGTGTATAGTGATATTCCATTTTAATTTTAATTTTCCTGATAACTAATAAATTAAATATACTAGAGGCCTGGTGCATGAAATTCGTGCACTTGGGGGGGGGTTGTTTCTCAGCCCAGTCTGCACCCTCTTGCAGTCCGGGAGCCCTTGAGGGATGTCCAACTGCTGCAGAGACGGGAGAGGCTCTCACCAAGGCCACTGCGCTTACCAACTGTGAGCCCAGCTTCTGGCTGAGCAGTGCTCCCCCTGTAGGAGAGCACTGACCACCAGGGGGAATCTCCTGCGTTGAGGAGGATTAGGCCAAAACTGGCTCTCTAACATCCTCTAAGGGGTCCTGGATTGTGAGAAGCACAGATCAGGCCGAGGGACCCCACCAGTGCATGATTGGGGTCAAGGAGGGACATGGGAGGTTGCCCAGCCAGGGAGGGATCACAGGAGGGCTCCAGGGTGCGCCCAGCCCCTTTCACTAAGTCCTGATTAGTGGATCCCAGCAGCAAGCTAACATATAGATCAGAGCATCTGCCCCCTGGTGGTCAGTGCATGTCACAGCGACTTGTTGACCAGTCGACTGCCCCCTGGTGGTCAGTGCATGTCATAGTGAGTGGTTAAGCAGCCTTAGCATATCATTAGCATATTATGCTTTGGTTGAACGGATGACTGGACACTTAGCATATTAGGCTTTTATTATATATATAATCCTCATTTTACATGATTCTGATATGCAAAAATTTCAGTTACATGATTTAGTTAAATAACACCAGTTACCACCAAACATATGTTTCAAATTTTAGTTAGCATGATATATTAGCTATAACTGTATAAAGTATAAATTTCTCTACTAGCTCTTCAGTCCACACATCACTACACAAATAATAGATGTGCTTCATGATCAGTGACACACATATTGCTTCTTTCTAAGTCTGTCAATGATTGGTCTTTATGATACTAAGTTTAAGCATAGACCTCAAAGTATGTAGTTGCATTGCTCCCTTGTCTTCCAATGATAAGCCCATGTGACATTTTATACAAATGAGTACTCTGAGGAAGGAATTTGCCAGTGGAAATAAAAGTGTAGCAAAGAAATGAAAACCGTTGGTGCTGGAAGTGATATTTGATTTGATTATAAATAAAAAGCCAAAGACCACTGATCTAAGTATTCATTTCAAGAACTAAGAGCTAGACAACAACTTAACTTCCTCCCCTGTGTAGAAAGGGAAATACTAAACACAACAGCACACATTAATGAAAGGGAAGACAAAAATACAATGGTTGGGCCATGATCTGAAAGAGAAAGGTGTGAGAAATGATCCCAGGTTCTCCAATTTTCCTATAAAAACATTTGCTGAATTATTAATCTGCTCAGGGCTAGAGTATGAGGTATAAAATAGATGGCCAGCCCTAGCTGGTTTGGCTCAATGGATAGAGCATTGGCCTGCGGACTGAAAGGTCCCTGGTTCAATCCTGGTTAAGGGCACATGCCTGGGTTGCAAGCTCAATCCCCAGTAGGGAGTGTGCAGGAGGCAACCAATCAATGCTTCTCACTGCTTCTCTCTCATCATTGATCTCTCTCTCTCTCTCTCTCTCTCTCTCTCTCTCCCTCTCTCTCTCCTCTCTCTTCCTCTCCGAAATCAATAAAAATATATAGATAAAAATCTATCTATATGTATATGTATATATATATATAAAGAGCCAGGTGCCGTCACATCTGAAACAACCAAATGGACAACTGAACAGTCTGAGTGGGGTGACAAGGCTGGCAGGGGGGTTAGTGAGGGACGACCAAATGACTGAGCAGCAGGCTTCGTGGGGTGACCAGGCCAGCAGGGAGGGCAGTGAGGAGTGACAAAATGACTGAACAGCAGGCTGCATGGAGTGACCAGGCTGGCAGTGGGGGGCAGTGAGCGGTGACCAGGCCAGCAGGGGGCGCAGTTGGAGGCAACCAACCTGGCAGGGAGGCTGTGAGGGGCAACCAAGCTGGCAGTGGGGGGGGGCAGTTGGGGGTGACCATGCCAGCAAGGGGGGGCAATTGGGCGTGACCAGGCCAATGAGGGGATAGTTGGTGCAACCAGGTTGGCAGGGGGGCAGTTGGGGGCAACCAGGCCAGCAGGGGGGCCAGTTAGGGGCAATCATGTTGGCAGGCAGAGGCCGTTAGGGGTGATCAGGCTGGCAGGGGCGTTCAGGCAGGCAGGCAGGTGAGCAGTTAGGAGCTAGCGGTCCTGGGTTGTGAGAGGGATGTCGGACTACCAGTTTAGACCTGATCCTGGGGATCTGGCCTAAACCGACAGTCATCCACTGAGGGGTCCCAGATTGGAGAGGGTGCAGTCTGGGCTGAGGGGACCACACCTCATGCACAAATTTTGTGCACTGGGCCTCTAGTAAATAAGTAAAATAGATGACCATTTTGCCAGGCCGTGTGGCTCAGTTGGTTGGAGAGTTGACCTTGTACACAAAAGGTTGTGGGTTCCATTCCAGGTCAGGGCACATGCCCAGGATGGGGCATGTAGGAGGCAGCTGATCAATGATAACTGATGTTTCTCTCATCAATGTTTCTCTATGTCCCTCTCCCTTTCTCTCTCTGAAATCAATAGAAACCTATTTAAAAATAAAATAAAAAATAATAACATAAAATATATGACCATTATAAGCGGAGCTGAAATTGAAACGATCTTGTGGTGCTTAAGAGATAACAATGTTCACAGTGGTTCCAGGAGAGGCCCTGGTTTCCTCATGGTCTCTAATGCCGTAAGGCAGACTTTCTTTCTTTGTAAAAAACATTTTAATTTTCTCTACTTATTCTTGGCATGAGCTTTGTATCTCTGACAGACAATTCCATCACAGGTGAGAGCAGAAAACTCTATTACAGTTTAAATTTACACTGTTGCCCAACCACTGCTAGAGAAGAATTAGACTAAGAACATTATTGATTTACTTCTCTGAGATAACATTTGCTTATTCAGTAAACATTTAGTGAACTACTGATATGTTCCAAGAAACATGCTGAATTGACAGGGTTTAACTCTGGGCAAGAGAGAAGTGATCCCACCCCCAAAAAATGTGTTTAATGAAGTTTTGATTTATTCTTCTAGAGCACTGATTTTCAAGCTTTTTCATCTCATGGCGCACATAAAAAAATTACTAAACTTCTGCAGCCCATCCAAAAACATAGTTTTGGCTGATTTGA